TTAATGCAGCTCTACTGGTATCCCCAACCCCCCCCCCCCAAAAAAAAAACCCCCAAAAAAAAAAAAAAACATTCAGTAAGAATCACCTTTATTCATTATGTTAAAGAAATTCGACTTAATATTTTATGTGAGAAATCTACAGACCTGGATTTAATTGTTGTCTTTGTTGAAAAAAAGCCATGAGAATTTTCATTGCAAACACTGAAGAAATTCTTGTGAGATCAGACCGAATTGAAACTTTGCTCTAGATACGATACTCTGACACCACAGTGAAACATTTCAGTGACTGCATCATGTTAATGCAAATCTGTTCTGCAGCACTGATACAAAAGCTGAGTCAATTTTAAAACGGATTGAACTAAATACGGCATGGTAGTGGAAACAAACAAACAAACTTGTCTGTCTGTCTGTCATATATATTTCTCACTATGCTCTATTCAGAGCCTAAGTTTAGCTTAGGCTTGTGAAACATATCATATAAGGCAACCTCTTCTATTATCTGTTGTTTAATAAAAAAAAGGTCGCCAAATAAATCGATCCACCACGTGGTTATTAGTCATAGCCCTAGTTAGATCAAAGCAAATGGATTTGCTGTATATGATTGTACAAGCCCAAAACTGTGGCAAATGTTTTTATTTGTAAATTATAATTTTATTTGTAAATTAAAATAGAAAAAGAACAAAATCTCCTTTAACCTATACTAAAAAAGAGCAACTGATACAACAGTGATGATGTTTAATGTATTCTCCTATTTCTTAAAAAAAGTAAACAACAGATATGTTTATTGTATTCTACTATTTCTTCTAAAAAAATTATACAACAGTTATGACGTTTATTTTATTCTCCTATTTCTTAAAATAAATAAATAAATAAATAAATAAACTAACGTTAAAAACACGTACATCCACATTTTCATTGCTGGCGTTAACATGAACCTTAGATGCGTTCAGGGGACATTGTAATATAGGGTCCCGGACAGTGGGCGGCAGTGGCAAACAGCAGCACAGGAAGGATTCACCTGCATTAATAGTTAGCTACAGTTCCATGCTGAGGGTGCATTTTATAGCAGAGAGGTGAACTCTGGTACAAATATAAATGAAAGTTGTCATTGTGGTAAGACATCCTTGCGGCTATAGATGTAAAACCGCGATAAGATAAAGAGATATGGGAATGTCAGAGCACCCATGAACATAGCACAAGCTAACTGAAGCTAACTGAGCTAGCTCCGTTGTTGTTGAGGATGACAGCTGCAGAGGGAGAGATGCAGAGAAGACCAGAGCGGTAAGATAGAGAAACATCTATGAAATAAATGTATTAACCAGCCTTTGAGACTGTTTGCCGCCTATATCTGCATACAAATATTATTACTGTTTTTTATTTTTATAAATATAATAATGAGAGCGAGATAAAATGCACTAAAACTGAAGCGTTTTGGTCAAATTGAATTATCTTATTTACTGTGAGTGAACACCTGCATGAAGCCGCCGATGATTCATTTTGAATACTTTCATAGAAATAAAGTAATAATTCAACCCATGCTGCCACTCTTCTCTGGATAGATGTAATCTAGATGTTAGAGGCGCACTTGCAAAGCCAGCAGACCCACAGGAGCCATGAAGGAGGACTGTGAAGGTGCAGCTTTGTTCCAGGACCTGGACTTTCCCACAGCTGCCTCCTCCCTTTTCTTGGACAGCTCCACACCCATCGCCAGGCTGCAGCGGGAAATCACATGGCTGCGTCCACAGGTAAACCACCTGGGAGGAGGAGGGGGAGGGTTCCTGCTCAGATTGGAGATGGAGCTTTTGGCAGATTGGGTTTAAAATGTACAGAAGAGGATTAGGGCCGCTGAAAAAATAAAAAAAGTCAACTGATTTTTAAATTTTATTTCAGTATGATATGGGGGAAAACTGTCACAATTCTGACTTTTATCCCAGAATTGTGGATCTTAATTTAGATGGGCACCATGAAGGAAAAGATGTGGGAGCACTCAGCTGCACTGACAATGATGTGAGCTGTTTGAGAGGGCCAGTGACACATTGGTGGAAAATGACTAAATGCTATTACATTAATGGAAGAGCAAAAGGTGATCTAGTTTAGTCTCTAGAAAAGACATGGCTATGACTTGATGCTATTATGTCTGTTAGCTGTCAGAATTCTGTAGGAATTCTGAGATTAAAGTCAGAATTCAGAGAAAAAAGTCAGAATTCTCAGATTGAAGTCAGAATTCTGAGATTAAAGTCAGAATTCTAAAAAAAGTCATAGTTTTTAGATTAAAGTCAGAATTTCGAGATTAAAGTCAGAATTCAGAGTCCAAAGTCAGAATTCAGAGACAAAAGTCAGAATTCTCAGATTGAAGTCAGAATTCTAAAAAAGTCTTAATTTTGAGATTAAATTCAGAATTTTGAGATTAAATGCAGAATTCTGAGATTAAAGTTAGAATTCTGAGTCAAAAGTCAGAATTCTGAGTCAAAAGTCAGAATTCAGGGAAAAAAGTCAGAATTCTGAGATTGAAGACAGAATTCTAAAAAAGTAATAATTTTGAGATTAAAATCAGAATTTTGAGATTAAAATCAGAATTTTGAGATTAAAATCAGAATTTGGAGACAAAAGACAGAATTCTGAGATTAAAGTCAGAATTCAGAGACCAGAGTCAGAATTCTGAGAAAAAAGTCAGAATTCTTGGATTGAAGTCATAATTCTGACTTTTTCTCATACTAAAATAAAATTTTAAAACCTATTTTTGTTGTTTTTTTTCAGTGGCCCTAATTCTCTTCCAGAAAAATGTGATGCTGGTTCATCCCTCAGTCAGGGAGTGGTTAGTTGGTAATTTCAAACTGATGATGCATCACAGGTCACATCAGCTGTTCTTTGCAGGAAGTAAATATCACCTTACTTACCTGTTTATGTAATCATAGGTTGTTTCAAACTTGTATTAATTGTAGACAAAATGTCACATTCTCACAGTTTGGTACCCTGAACAAGAAAAAAGTCTGTGAAAAACATCTAAACTAATTTATTTAACACGGAAAAGCAAAACTTTTTCATACAGCTGTATAAACTAACCTGATAGCCTTATAACAAGCTGAGCTATTCAAGCAAGTAATATCATGAAATGATAGAGCCTTATTTGAGAGCCCCAATTTGTCTCTCAAATAAAAGAGAACTTCCGTATATTTTAGATGTGTATAGTTCCCTGTAGCAAACACGCTAAATTACTCCACTAAACTAAAGAGGGACGTATAAAATGCACAGTGTATTTTCTGAGTGTTTGACTGTATCTGTTGAAAATAATCATCATTAATAATCATTCATTTCCAGCATCTGTGTGATATGTAGGAATAATGGTATAATTTCTGCTGAGTTATCAGTGATAGTCAAGAGGTTTCCAACCCATTACCTCTGCAAAGCTTGGATGAATACTTAAGCGCAGATTATACTTCTGCAACCGCACACATCAAATGTTTCTTGGGTCTGGTCGCGAACCAGTTTAGCTGATATGCTTCTGCAATGTTGGTGTGGAATTTCTAGGGAAGCACAGCAGTTTCCCGCAGTTTTTAAATTGGCCTTCAGGAGACACTACAATCATACATTAGGAAAGATGTGTTGAAGTGTGGATGCATCTCAAAGTTGCAGGACGCTGGCTCTCAAAGATTGAAGCTGGAGACCTAGGGAGTGTGTGCTTGGTTAGCCAGTATGCAGTTATCTGCCCTGTAGCCTGGTTAAGCTTGTTTTCAAGCTTACCATCTGTTGTTGGAAATAATCATAGCATTAACTCGAAAAAAAGAGCTGGATGGAGCTGGTTTCGTTTTTTACAATTTGTTTATTCAAAGCAGAAATATTCCCAAACAGATTGATTTATCTTTCTTGGAAGTCAGGGAAGTGTACGGAAACGGGTGGGGGACGAGTAGCTCCATGTTCCTCAATGCTCAAGCTTGGCAAACACCAATCCCTCCAATAATGGCTCTGGTTTCTGATTAGAAAATGCATTTCCTTATGATTTCAATTCAGTTCAATTCAGTTTATTTATATAGTGCCAATTCACAACACATGTCATCTCAAGGCACTTTACAGAGACAACACAACCAGGTCATACAGTCAAACCGATTCAAAGTTTTCTATCTAAGGAATACCAGTTGACTGCATCGACTCATTGACTCAAAGGAAATCACACATACCAAGCATGCTTCTAGCAACAATGGAGAGGAAAAACTCCCTTTTAACAGGAAGAAACCTTCAGCAGAACCAGCTGTCTGCCGAGGTTGACTGGGGTTCAAGGAGACAGAAGCAGAGATCCAAAAGGCAACTGTAAAAGGCGGCCCCGTCCTGGAAACACACAGCCAGGCAGATAAGCTCTGAGCCAGCTCCCATGTTCAAGGATGAAGAGAGCACATCCAGCCAATCACAGTCAGAGAAACAGGACTACACTAAAAAACAGGCCGAGCTCCAACATACAAAGGTGTTGATGGCAGCAGCACAGCTGATATTTCTCTCCAGGATGGTGTCACAGTCAAACAGGAAAAGACCAGATGAAGCTAGTATGAGAAAAAGCAGAGAGAGCATAACGTTAGAGATTGAACTAACAAACTCTGCAAAGTTGGAGAATAGAGATAGAATGAAGCAGAATGATGAAGTGGAGGTCCCTATGTCCTCCAGCAGTCTAAGCCTATAGCAGCATAACTATAGAGATAGCTCAGGCTAACCTGAGCCACTCTAACTATAAGCTTTATCAAAAAGGAAAGTTTTAAGCCTAGCCTTAAAAGTAGAAAACTGTTAAACTGGTAGTTGGTTCCAAAGGAGAGGAGCCTGATAACTAAAATATCTGCCTCCAATTCTACTTTTAGAAATTCTAGGAACCACTAGTAAACCTGCAGATTGAGAGAAAAGTGCTCTGTTAGGAACATAAGGAATGATCAACTCTGATATAAGATGGAGCTTGGCAATTTAAGGCTTTATAAGTGATAAGGAGGATTTGACACAGAAACTTCTAGTTTAGGCTTGACACCAGTTCCCTTCTCTGTTCATGTCACACTACCTTTCTGAAGGCTCTTGTTGATTCTTTTCATATTTATTTTGTATAAAGGAGATCTGCCAGACACCTTCCCTCTTCCCCACCAACCTCAACCTGGCTCATGCTAAACAAGGTTTGTTGGGAGACTGCTGGTTTCTCTGTGCTTGCACCTTCCTGCTCAACAACCAGCACCTTTTAAACAAGGTACACACAAACACAAACATCAGGTGTTATTGTCACTTGTCGTCGTCGTTAAATCCTAACCTTTGTGTTTGTCTTCTGCGCTGTCTTTGCTCCACATACAGGTACTGCCTCCAAGTCAGCCCCAGTGGGGTAGCAGCGGGTACAAAGGCTCCTTTCAGTTTCTTCTCTGGCAGCATGGCCGCTGGATAGATGTGACCATCGATGACCGTCTCCCCTGCATTAATTCCTCTCTCTGCTTCTCACGGTGCCACTCCCCCTCTGCCTTCTGGGTAGCTTTGTTGGAAAAGGCTTATGCCAAGTAGGTAACCTGAGGATTTTTTCATGATTCTTTTTTTTTTTCCCGTACAACCATAATAATCCGTCAAGATTACGGTTTCATATTCTCGTTTCTTTTGTTGTACATTCTGGGTAACATTTCAATGAGATCTCAACAATTTGATTCCCGCTTAACCCTCTCCAGGCTTCATGGTTCATATGAACAACTGTGGGCTGGGCAGGTGTCGGAGGCCCTGGTGGATCTGACGGGTGGTGTCGCAGAGCGCTGGAGTCTAAGGGAAATTGGGTCACAAGAGGGAAAACTGCGAGCAGAGCAGGACAGTGATGAAGTCATGAGGAAAAAGCTGGACCTGAACCTTCTGTGCCGCGTACAAGAAGAGTGTGCACTGAGCTGCTCCACCCGCAGCCCCTCTGGAGGTTAGATACGGGTTGATTTGTAGATAATACAACCACTAATCCCCTGTCCAACCCCATCTCTGACACTCTCACTCCTATTAGGACCCAGCGAGCTAGATCAGCACCATGCTCTGACTGTGATGGAGTGGTTGGATGTAAGGAAGGTGTCAGGGAGTGAAGTGCGCCTCCTCAGGCTCCGAAATCCGTGGGGGCGCTGCTGTTGGGCAGGAGATTGGACTTGGAGGTAACTTTTTGTATAAAGAGAAGATTCAGGCTTACATTATGGTTTTAGGAATATCCAACTATATATAGCATCATGAATAGAAGAGCCGTTAAAACCAGAAAAAATTCCAGCATTTCTGGATGATGACATCAGAGGAAAAAAGAACCTAACTAAGCTGAAGCTGATCATGCAGTCAGTCACGTTTCTCAAGCTGCTCAATAAATACATTGAAACCATTTTTTTTTTAGGTCTGCAATCATAGATTATAGAGTAGATAATAACAGACTGAGACAGTGTTTACTATGACAATACTGGGCTGGGCCATGACTTCTGCTCAGCTGAGTGGCTGAATTAAAGGGAGGGAAGTAAATTGGTGAGTCAGAATGTAAAGACTGAGCACATAAAAAAAAAAAAACATTTTTTTTTATTATTTTTGACACCACTATTGCATTGTAAATATCTGTTACTGCCAGACACTTATGACAGTAACAATTATTACTATCTGATAAATCCTGTAACTAATGTTGTCTTTTAATTTTTATTTTTTTTTATACATTTCCTGGACCAAAATGTCTTTTTAGTGATTTTTTTTTTTTTTACATACAGTCTATTTCCATTCAGTAACAACAATAAGAATCGGCAGCCTAAAAGGAGTTAATCTTTTTTTTTCTTGCATAATATGTTAAAACTTAAAACAATCTTTTGTTGTTTTTAGGACATGAACTGGACACAGTGGAATTTATCTGTTACACAATAAATAATAAATATGTCTCTTCTTTGTAATAAGTGTTGTTTAATTAGGAAGATGGGGCACGTAGCTCTGGGGTATAAATTAAATGTTTAATATTAAGTTTAAGTTGTGATAGAGCTCGACTCTCTAGGATCTTAGTGGGTCTTTCTAATTCAGAGGGAGAACTAGTTTTTTATTATTCTAAATAAAAAGCTCAAGTCAGTCTATGGATGCAGAACTTCTTTAAGACAGATTTAGCTTTGCTATAGCGCCCCCTGGTGTTATGGCTTACACAGGTCAACAGCGAATTTGAGACTTGTCAGAGCAGTCCTAAGCATCTTCTGCTGCTGTGTGGTTCCTCTTGGTGCACACGATGAGGGCCCCTCATTAACTGCTTTGAGCTGCAGACACAGATTAAGATCATCCAAGGCTCCATCTGCAACAAAAACACAGCACACCTTTTGATTACGTCTATCTTTGCATCTTTTTTCCAGCAGTTCCTTCGTATTTTCTGTACCACAAGTCTAAGCATCTCCCCTTTGTTTTGCTTAAATCACATCTACATACTTTTTCCTATCAGGCACCTTGTCAATTAAATCATCCATGTTTGTCCAGCTCTTCTGTCAAAATGTTGTATGTTTTTTTTTCATCATTATTGTTCCTGCTTAATAAATATTTAAAACTATTTGACTTTCAGCGGTGTTGGTTGGAGTTCCCTCGACCCTGTTTGTGCTGCGGAGCTTCAAGCCAGAATAGCAGAGGGTGAATTCTGGTTAGATGAGGCCGAGTTTACGTCCCAGTTTGATGACATCACAGTGGGATATCCTATAAACAAAGATGGACACTTGAAGAGCATTTACACAGGTTATCCCTTTATCTTGTTAAGCAAATCTTCAGCAGTTAATTGGTTCAGACCTTTGATGTGTTCGACCATCTTTCTACCTCTTACAGGAGCCGTTCTCACACACAGCCATCAGCTGGCTAGCCGCTGGATAAAGGGCTCCTCTGCAGGCGGCAGCCGAAACACCAGCAGCTACAGCAGCAATCCCAAGTTCTGGCTCAAAGTGTGTGCAGAAGGCGAGGTGCTGGTATCGTTGCTGCAGCACCGAAAATGCAGAAACACGGAAAAATACTCACAAAGAACCCTTGAAGACAGAAGTAACACAAAGCACCAGCATTACCAAGCCATTGCGCTACATATGTGGAAGGTGTGTGTTGTGTAAAACAGGATGACAACATGTGTGTTATTGTCATTTACTTGAAAATGTTTCTCTCCAGGTGGAAAAGAAGCGTTTTAATCTGAGCCGGATGTTAAACAAACCGCCTTGTGCTTCTACTCACTGCCATTCCTACGAGAGAGAAGTGGTCCTCTCCAGGAAGCTGGAGCCTGGATACTACCTCCTCATTCCTAGCACCTACCAGCCAGGAGCTGAGGCCCCTTTCCTCATCCGGGTCTTTTCCTCCTCTCCTATATCACTCAGGTAGGAGTCACCCATAAGGAACAGAAAAAGCAGCTCATATTTACAGTAGTCCTTTCTGAATCTTTTCTTTCTTTTGTCAAATTAGAACAACAAACTTAATTTTTAATTTTAAAAACTGTGTTAGAGCAGCTTAAAAGGTTGATTTTTAGGCTCCTGTCTGTTTTTCCCAAGAGCTTAACTTTCAGGAGCCTGTGTGTCTTGATGGGCTGTTTCTTGTTTGTGTTTTCACTAAAATTAGTCTGTTTATGTAGATTACATCCCGTCCTGTCCATCCTACAGTTCTGCTGCTGTGATGTGGGGACAGATCTCCCACAAGAACAGAAAAAAGAGAGTGAAATAAAATGCACACAGCAGTGATCTAATTTAGTTTATTTTTAACATCCATGGATAAATGAGCTGTGATGATGCTGACTGCAGGCTGCGAAGAAGAAAAGTTAGAATTAAAACCTGCTATATGTAAACAGAATTCATAACACTTCAACAGCAGCTAATCTCGAAAACTGATTTGCAATCAGATTTAACTCACAGACTTAATAATTAAATGGTTAGGCCTATGAAATGTGTCCTAATATAAAGAGTACACACATGCACCAACCTACAGCAGCAGGAAACCATTTAATCTGTCATTGGAACAACTTTAAAATTCACTAAAACACGATTGTCCATTTAAACTGGCCAACTTGTTATTGTAAATAAAAGCCAAGAGGATTTTGTTAATTCTGCAGGAGCCACAGAGATACACAGGTGGAAAACATATCAGACTTGACATGTGTAAGCTGGAAGACATAAATAAGTTGGTAGATATTTCCTAAGAGGACTGCAAAGAATCCCAGTTCATATAGATCAGGGGTCTCCAACCAGCAACTGGCTAAAAAAGATGTTAAGAACTAACTAATGCACTATAATAACATATTCCAGTCTTAAAAGCTTTAATGAGTTTTATAAAGAATATTAGAATTTAATTTTCAAAACAGAATTAAAAAAAGGTGAAAGACTTTTAATTAGCTTGGAAATGTTGTTTTATTATAATTTATCTTTAGATCAAATAATACCCTATAGAACAAAATCCATGCTTCACCATATGAATTGATCCCAATTTCCATATTTTAAAATCAAAGAATACAGATAAATTGCTGATTGTTTAAGATGGCAACATATTTCCTGGGGCTGTTTTATTAAACAGTCAGGTAATATTTTGTGGTTGTAAATCACTTTTATTTATTTAGGAAAAGTTGAAGACCCCTGATATAGATGAATTAATATAGGATTTTATTTGTTAAAAGAAAAAAACCTACATCCATTTTCCTTTAACTTTATTAATATTTGCTACATAATGTTGGCCCATCACATACAAATCCACTTTAGACATACAGAAGTTGGTGGTTGTTATGTGTAAATGCTTATATTTATGTGAACCTGCAAGAAAAACAACAATATTTATTGTTTATTTTTGAGTCATAGGAAAAATGATCACATGTGACTAAATTACAGCCAAAATAACAACGTAGAAGTTAAAGCCACCCATGTTTACCTCTGTGTTTCCTATTTAGAGAACATGTATTTATTTATTGGAACGTGGATTTTTCTATTTGAATATCACACTTCTCCCATCTCTCATCACTCTCATGTTTGTTCATGAAATAACAAAGCCCTTTTTATCCTTAGTGCCCTAAAAAGTCCAGCATCCTCACTGCCACTGATGACAGACGGCGAGTGGGAGACAAGTATCTTCCATGGCTCGTGGGTGGAGGGAAGGACAGCGGGAGGAAGCAGGAACTTCCCGTCATACTGGCAGAACCCCAGCTTCCCTTTTGCAGTGTGTGATGAACCAACAGTGACATCTGGGGTCAGTGTCAGGATCACATTGCACCAAAGCCGCCCTGACACCGATTTACATCCTATTGGCTTTCATGTTTACAAGGTCAGTCAAAAATCAGAGATTATCCAAGCTATATGGTCATGTGTGAAACGAAATACTCTTTATTTCTATTCTCTTTCAACTATTAGGGTGAGATAAGTTGATTTAATAAACATCACTGCTGTTAACAGACTTAGGCAAACTTAAATCTTTGTTTTAATGTTGGTTGTCTAATTTACCTTAGGTACTCCAGGAGGATTCAGAGCAGACAGTAGCCAAAGATGAGGACCCTGTGGCCAGCTGCACGCCCCACTGTTACACACAGCATGTCAGCCTGGCCTGCTCTCTTCCTCCTGGATCTTACACCATAGTGCCGTCTACCTATCAGCCCGACTGCTCAGCAAACTTCACAATCAGCCTGGCTCGCAAAATACACAGGTTAGCTGACTTATGTTGCTCCTATCAAAGAGGCTTTTGCAGAAAGTATAAAATAGATCTTTCTGTCTATCTATATATAGCTAGCTAGCTACACTACCATTCAAAAGTTTGGGGTCACACTGAAATGTCCCTATTTTTGTAGGAAAAGCACTGTACTTTTCAATGAAGATAACTTTAAACTAGTCTTAACTTTAAAGAAATACACTCTATACATTGCTAATGTGGTAAATGACTATTCTAGAAAATGTCTGGTTTTTGGTGCAATATCTACATAGGTGTATAGAGGCCCATTTCCAGCAACTATCACTCCAGTGTTCTACTGGTACAATGTGTTTGCTCATTGGCTCAGGAGGCTAATTGATGATTAGAAAACCCTTGTGCAATCATGTTCACACATCTGAAAACAGTTTAGCTCGTTACAGAAGCTACAAAACTGACCTTCCTTTGAGCAGATTGAGTTTCTGGAGCATCACATTTGTGGGGTCAATTAAACGCTCAAAATGGCCAAAAAAAGATAACTTTCATCTGAAACTTGAAAGTGTATTCTTGTTCTTAGAAATGAAGGCTATTCCATGCGAGAAATTACTAATAAATTGGAGATTTCCTACAACGGACCCTGCCTCTTGCCCATTGACTGCTGGAGATAGGCACCAGCACCCCTCGCGACCCCAATTGGGACAAGCGTGTAAGATAATGGATGGATGGATGGATTTCCTACAACGGTGTGTTCTACTCCCTTCAGAGGACAGCACAAACAGGCTCTAAGCAGAGTAGAAAAAGAAGTGGGAGGCTGCGTTGCACAACTGAGCAAGAAGATAAGTACATTAGAGTCTCTAGTTTGAGAAACAGACGCCTCACAGGTCCCCAACTGGCATCTTCATTAAATAGTACCCGCAGTAGCCTGTTTGTGCTGTCCTCTGAAGGGAGTAGTACACACCGTTGTGTACTATCTTGCTTTGTAGCCATCTATTTAGCTCCCCCCATAGCCATAAAGCTTCTTACACCAAGCTCTATTTAGAGTTACCACCTAACAATCATATTCTTAGATCGTTGGAGGAAGTCTTGGTCCCTGGAGAGAACCCACTCATGCAAGTTTTGAACATGCAAACTAATGGCTGAACCCATGAACCTGATACATTTGAACATCTGGGAATTATCCTAAATGATGCTCTAGACTCCCACAGTTGTTCTCCTGATGGATGTCTGATTTCCTTTGATCACTCTCTAATATCTCAAAGGAACCTCTGTGGTTGGGGTAAATTTAAATGTGGCAAATGAACTGCATCAGAAGCTAACAAAGCCATGCCATCATTATCTGGGCTTTACCAAAGTGTCTAAATGTCGAGTAATCTTACAGTAAGCAAACTTCTCACCATAACTAATTTATTAGTCTTTCATTTAGAAAATGTAAATAATTTTGGTAAATCTAACAGACTTAAAACAGAAAACATAGAGACTACCTCTCTTATCCTTCTCGGTCTGCTCTGAGCGTGTCAGACTTCTGCTCTTGCTCAAGTGGAGATTTATGGCGTTAAAGGAGGCTGAGGGATGTTACATGTAAAAAAAAACCTACAAACCTAAAAAAGAAAAGATAATGTGGTTGAAAATAAGGTTGTAATATACTTCTTAGGGGGAAAAAAAGATCTAAAATTTTTGTTAAATGTTTCCAGGAAAGTGGTGAAAAGCCAGGAGAAACTTGGGAGCGCTGTTCATGAGGTTGGTTCATCTGATCACATGACTCACCTATGATTTTTAAATGAACTGATTAAAAGAAGGTGATGACAGAGTTATTTAACTTTTGTTATTAAGAATGTGATAATTTAGTTTTTTAAAACATCTATAGATAATGAAGTTTGTTTTTATATTACATCACAGCTGTGTTTTGGTTGCAAAAACAATACTGTTATAATTCACATATATCCATCAGTGATAATGGTTCCAGTTCTAGCTGTAATAGAATAAAGTTTAAAGTTATTCAACGGTTTAATGAAATTTTTTAGATTCACCAAAATGTTTCCTTTTATTGGGGATGATGGCGTGAAGAAGTAGAATGACCAGAACCTGATGATAATCAGATAATCTTGATAAACTATTATCTAATTTCAAGTATATTTAGAAGGGTATAAATGGTTTTCAACATCTAAATAAAAATGGATTGGGAGGCTATGATAATTTAAAATATTATCATAACCAGACAATATCTAAGCAATTATATAATTAGAACCAAGGCAGATGTGACAGGTAATATTTCAGATATATTAATTAGGAGCATCACTTACCACCTTCTGACAACGTTTAGCTTGTCGTCAGAAGGTGGCAGCACTGAATAATCCATCTGTTTTGTTTATTGTGTCTCTGGGTGGCAGGTCTCTCACATCTCTTTGATGAAAACCTAGCTGCCCAGGACTGACGTCAGCCCACCACCCCGCGCCTCTTGGCCCACGATGAAACGAGCCATTCCACCGTCAAGCGGCGCTGACCGCAGAAGCCATGACTGTGTTTTTATATATGGACTAAGAGTGCAGCCGGGCAGGGAGGGGGACAAACCACAGAGGTTTATGTGCAGCTCCACAATCATCTGTGATTAGGACATCAGAGGTTGTCGCTGGGCTCTGCTGCTAATGAAGTATGACGGCACTGGCTGGTGTAAACAAACAGCGGCCACTGAAGAGTACCGCCACCGCTCTCGCTCATTCACTCTGTACGCCCGCCGGCCCAGAACAAAGAGTCTTCTCATGAAGGTCCTCAAAGAGGCATGGGGGGGGGGAGTCAGGGATGGTCTGCAGTAGCAGAGCCAACCAAACCAAACCAAACCAAACTACACCACACTGTACCAACCTAGAATTTCCCAGGCATTCCTTCCCCCAAAATACGTTATTGTATTGTTTGTTCCATAAGGCAAACACGTTTACAATCAGCAAACCAAAAAATGTAAAATAAAACCTTAATTGTTGAACCAAACTTATAGATCTAGTTCCCATACTCACCCTTCACCTCCCTTTTTAGTCCCTTAGATTTGGTCCAGAGCTCTTCCGGCACGGAGCTGCTGTTTGAAGTAACCGCAAGGACAGAGTGTAGGGGGTGACAAGAGAAATGCAGCATATCAAACGATGCTGGTTCTTCTTTTTTTTTATATATATATATATATATATATATATATTTTGGGGCAGCGCATGTGCAGAGGTGTGTGTCCGTCTGCTCGTAACCATCGTTATCTGTGAGCTGATGTCACCAGATTTATGATCACTGCTGCCAGAGGAACACCAGACTTTGATAAACAGCATCTCACTGATCAGTGGTACTTTTCTGCTTATTTATATCATTAGTTACTTATCCTGTGGGGAAAAATATATATATGTATGTATAGAATAAAATCTTTAAACTAACCTAACTGTTCTCTTGATGTGATTTTCAGATATATGGGGGTTTGTTTGTAAATTGGCCATTTCCAGTGAAAACTATTGTTTTGTGAGGTTGTGAAATTAACAGAAACTTGGTTTTGCACAAACTGGTTTCTTTTTGGTTGTTTTTTTTAGGTACATTTATGACATATAAAAGTTTTTTGTTTTTAAACAAGCTATTCATTATTCAAGACTTTTTCAAGGAAAAAAATGCTAAAACACTGAACATATGTCATTATGAAATCTGTTTAGTTGATGTTAACGTCTGTGTTTTAGACCAGGGTTTCCAAGCTAGAGCAATGAAAATTTGTTAAGGGGCAGTTAAATCAACTCCAACTTTACATGTAAAATTAGGAGAAATGCCATTTATGTTTCAGAAGACAACAGTTAATGGTTAAATATTGGATAAATTTAAAAGGACACAATGAAGATCATCCAGTTACAGTATTTTGTTGGGAAAGAGGAAAGAAACAATGTAATAGTTTTGGGTGGGTTGGGGATGACGGAGCAAAAACATTTTATGTATTTAACAAAGAATTTAGTCCAACAGTATTGTGGCATTTGAGACCTACGTGGAAATGGAAATATATTAATATAGACAGATCATTATTAAATATTAAGGAAAGAAATATAACAGACATCTGTCAAGAATTTTATAATCAAATACAGATTAAATATTTGAAAATTTATACTGATGTTTTAAAAAATCCCAAAATTTTAGCAACTATGGTAGTTAGCAGAAGTAATTCCTGAATTAAAGATTAATATTTTAAAAAGAACATCTAATTGTCTCAGTATATATGCACTAGAATTATGTGCTACATTATTAGCTTTAGAATAGGTGGAAGATACTAATATAAATGGAATAACAATTTGTAGCGATTCATTATCTGCATTATTGAGTATTAAAAAGGGATGTACAAATAATCATCAAAATATATGAGGCTATGTTCATCATAGAATATGTGAACAAAATAAAAATTGTATTTTATTCGGGACTCCTGAAGTATTTTAGGTAATGAAAGAGCAGATAGGTTGGTTAAGGAGGCTATTGCAGAAGATATTGATATGCCAGTAAAGTTATCTAAATCTGAAGGTAAAAGTATAGTTTGGAGAGAAAGCAAGAGGACATGGAAAATGAGGTGGGGATATTTTTTAAAGGCATGAATGAATAAATAAATTAAAAAATCTGTGCCCCAGGCACCATAGATCCACAACGGGGCACGTGCCCCTGTGAAAAGCGTCTGTCGACGCCGATGGGATAATGAAATAAATGGAAGGCATTTGTATACAATAAATACAGTTGGTGTAGTAAGGATTAGAGGAATAAACAGGAGGGAGGAGTTAATTATGAATAGAATAAGAACAGGTGACAGTTGTTTAAATTGAACTCTTTCTAAGATGAGGAAACATCTTACTGGTTTTTGAAGTTGGTATGATACTGTAGAAACAACGGAACATGTTCCAAAAAAGTTAAAAACAAAAACAATCCACTGGACCTTGTTTTTCCAGTTTGAAGACATCTTTAAACTTGGAAATAAAGTCCAGTGGTTTGTCTTTGGAATGACTGTGACCTGGATGACTGAGAATCTTCACTAATGAAACATGTTTTTATTAGTTGTAGAAAATGTGTAAATCACATATTATTATAAATGGGATTAAGTCGTAATAGGGATTTGAAATTTGACAATCTGGTTGATGAGTGAAATAGTATTGATTGGAAAAGGAAGATAAAAAAAAAAACAGGGGATCATTATGAGAGTTTGAGGAATAGATATTAGGATCCAATAGATGTCAGTAGTGCACCAATAATGGATGCCAGCTGTTGTTAAAATCTAAAGAAGAAGATCAGGGTTGGCCCTCAGGGGCCCATTTTCCTTCATGTTTAGGATGTGTCTCCACTCAAGCACACCTGATTCAAATGATTGCATTACCACAAGCACACCTGATTCAAATGATTGCATTACCTCCTCAGCAAGCTTCAAGTGCTCCAAAAGCCTGTTTCTCTCCTTTTCATTCAGATCAGGTGTCTGGAGACAGGGGAGCACTGAAAACATGTAGGACAAAGGCCCCTGAGGACCAGGGTTTACAAACCCTGTTTTAGACCACTGCACTAAGACAGTTGTGCCTTTTTGTACAGGGCCCCGCTATACTGTAAGAGCCATATCTTGCCATCAAAAACCTCTGGATCTGGACTGATTGATTTGTTTTCAACGTGATTTTTGAGGGGGGAAATCAATAAGTGAAGGGAAGAACAGGGGGGCACTGAATCAAAGTGGCTTCAGGTGCTGCAATGTAAGGTTTGCACCCGGAGCTGTCCTCTAAAAGTGTCTGTTTTTGTCTTTTATTTAGTTCTAACATTTAAGGCTTTCATCTTGCTGATATGCTTTATAAGGAGGCTGATTCTGTTCTTAGCAGGAAACTTTGCAGCCGACCAATTTGTCAGAATTACAAATACTTGTTTTAGTAAAACATTTATTAATCTGTCCATTTTCTCTTGGCCTGCGTCACATAAATATGTAAAATAAAATATTCTGCTTTTCGAAACGGATCAAGTATAAAAACTGCTAGGAGCGTTGCGCCTGCGCAGTTCATCTCTGACCGTGCGCATGCGCAGCCGCGATGACGTCTACGTTGCTGCGGAAATCAGGAGGCTGTTCTCGGACTCCGAAAGCAAGACTCCTTAGAAAATAATGAACAACAAATTTGATGCGTGAGTTAATATTTTGGTAATGCATGCGCATCTGAGCAATCTACTGAACGCCTTTAATCATTAACCGATTAATTAGATGGTGACCGACGGCTACGCTGAGTTAAATGAGAGGTGTGTCAGTTTTATGGCGTGGTTCTATATTGTCTATATTTATTTTTAAACTCGCATGGGAATGGGAACCCTTATATGGAAGCACGCATTGCAAAATAAAACAATGGTGTCAATTACAAGCAGTTTTTATAGGAGCGATTAAGCTAGCGGGTTAGCTGTAGCTTAGCATGTCGGGGACCAAGTTAGGCCTTCAGCCTCGGTGTAGTAGTAGTGGAAGAGCAGAGGACTGTTAGTGGAAACGCGGAGGAAAGTAAACTATCAGCTCCCTCTTTGAGAGTTAGATGGTCTATAGCGCTGCGTCTACAAAATGGATTCAATTTAATGTTACGGAATAATTTATGGTGGATATGTGATGTTTCTTTGTTCATTACAACTTTTGTATTAAGATTTGTGCGGAAAAATTAGCTCATCAAAGTCTGCTAACTATAGTAATCAGCAACGGATCTTGACGCCACGAGGTCATACGTAACGTTTAGGTTTTGTTTCTCCATTTCAGCTGAACCTCTGTTTTATAAAAGTCAAGTAAACATGGACTTATTTGTAACTGAAGCTTAATAAATGAACTGATCTGTTAATAATTACACCCTACATTATGATCTTAAACTTGATTCAAGCTGTTTTTTTGTTTTTGTTTCATTCAATCCAGGCTAAAAGACGATGACAGTGGAGAGGATCAAGCCTCACCTAAGGACAGTGAAAAAGAAAAACCCGAAGAAGACGATAAAGACCAGAACATTGTAAAGAAGAAAGTAAGGCAGTACAGTTTTTTGGTCACACCTGCTGTCAGGCAAATGTCAGGCTTTTCTGGCTGATGCCCAGAAAGCCCAGTTTTTAAGGTCAAATGTTTTGTTTTTTTCAAAAATAATACCTTTTTAAAAAAAAAAGCACTAATCATTTAATTTAATTTTGTTTTATTGTGAAAGGAAATTAATGGAAATACAAGACTGTTTCCACTTGCATTCAATGCAATCCAGTTTATTTATATAGTGCCAATTCACAACACGTCATCTCAAGGCACTGTACAGTTCACCAGATCATACAGTCACATTGATTCAAAGTTTTCTATTTAAGGAAAACCATTTGATTACATTGACTCTGATGCAGTCCCTCACACTAAGCATGCTTATAGCGACAGTGGAGGGGAAAAACTCCCTTTTTAACAGGAAGAAACGTCCAGCAGAACCAGGTTCAGTGTGAGCGACCATCTGCCGCTTGAATGCCACTTTTAGCTAAAAACTGCTGTCGACCAATGTTTTTACTGACTGATTTAGGATTTAGCTGTGTATTTTTTCGGCAACGAAAGAAAGGCAGCTCGTTTCCTTCCACTGAAAGAGCTGTTTGCCTTATGTCGATGTATTGTGCTCATAAATAACCTGGTTTTCTCCTGTGTTAGATGGTAGTTCCAGGGCCAGGAGAGCATCCCCTTCAATACAACTACACATTCTGGTACTCGAGGCGTACTCCAGGGAGGCCAGCCAGCACTCAGAGCTACGAGCAGAACATCAAACAGATCGGCAGCTTCGCTTCAGTATGGAGATCATTACAATTTCTCTAAGTGCTACCGTTAGCTATAATTGATTAGCGGTCATACTAGATTTGTGGCCTCATTTAATTTATGTAAAATGTCTTTGTTTTCAAGGTGGAGCAGTTTTGGCGTTTCTACAGCCACATGATCCGACCTGGTGACCTCACAGGTCATAGCGACTTTCACTTGTTTAAGGAAGGCATTAAACCCATGTGGGAGGTGATTGTCCGTTTCTGAGGTCATCGTATTGGTATGCTAGTTATATTTTGGAGTCTAATTTTTTTTCTACCTTGCTTTGGTTCCTATTTTTCCCCCAGGATGATGCCAATAAGATGGGTGGAAAGTGGATTATTCGCTTAAGGAAGGGCCTCGCGTCTCGATGTTGGGAGAACCTTATCTTGGCCATGCTGGGTGAGCAGTTCATGGTGGGAGAGGAGATCTGTGGGGCTGTTGTGTCCGTCCGCTTCCAGGTAAATCACTAAACACTTACACACCCATTACGTGTGATCACTTGAATTCACCACTTAGACTTGTGTGTTTCTTTTATTCAGGAGGACATCATTTCTATCTGGAATAAAACGGCAAGCGACCAATCGACGACAGCTCGCATCAGAGACACATTGCGCCGAGTCCTTAACCTGCCTCCCAACACCATCATGGAGTACAAGACACATACAGACAGCATTAAGTATGTATGTCTCCTCCTTTTTTATTATTTTTCCTTCAAACTGTTTTCTAATCAATTTCACAATGTGTCTGCTTGTAAGCCTTTGAATTCCCACAGCTTGTTCTGCATTTTTTTTGTATGAAATCCAGTGATTTGCATATTTCTAACCACAGATCTTAGTTTACATTTATTACAATTTTGTCTGAATATTCAAACTATCTCTAGATCAACCAATTACCTTAAATAATCACATACAATCTTAAATGAATTAATCTTTAAGCATGGGGGGTTTATTGGTATAGCACATTGCAGTACAGTCAATTCAAAGGGCTAAAGATAAAACATAAAAGCAGGTATTAAGACGCAATTGAACTAATCTTTAATAAAACAAGTCTGAGCGTACAGCTGTTCTGTCAACGCTTGGGCATCACATGACTTGCATGTTCCAAAAGCAGCATGAATGCCAAAACAACTCAGCAAAATATGTTGTTTGTGGTTTTAACAAGACCTGAATGATTTTATTCAGGTTAGGAAAACATTTTCAAAGGTGCTTAGTCATGTTATATGCTGATATGGAAAAGACACCAAAGAAACGTGATCATGATCAAATAAGGTTATATACAGCAGGTGTGTTTTTCTATTCTTTGAGCATAAATGGAATTACAGCACACAGTGTGATAAGCAGACATAAACAGACGTGGCGCCATCTGCAGGCAGAACCCACAAACCTATCGGAAAGCAGGTGCAACAATTTGTGCATCTAATTAATGGAGCCTGCACGTCCTGCAATGCCTTCCAGTAAAGTAACAGCATGGTATGGTCAAAGACCCACGGATATCAAACTGATCTACAGCTACTTTTTAAGCTCTAGGGAAAATTCAAGTGTCTATGAAACGTAAACAGAGACACCATATCAAGTTAAGTACTGATTCAATCGGTTTATCATGTTGTCTGTACTTGTACTGATAATATGTTTGCAGATTTATACATCAATTCTGCGGCTTCTGCTTCAGTAAACACCAACGTTCATACTGTATTCTGAGCATGGTTCTAGTGCCGTACCTCTGTTGTCATTGTAAATGAACACAAAGGGCTTTATTTTCCTGAAAAATTGAGCACAAAAACAAAATGACAAATATTCATCAGCAGAATACAGCTATCGTTCAGAAAACTTTTTATTCAACCAAAAAAGCTGCTAGCATATACCTTTGAAAATGACTTAAACTTTAAACATTAAACTTTGTAAGCTGAGTGATATTTTTAAGTTACCCAGTTTCAAATTACCCTTTTAAACTAATAATAATACAATATATGAATTGTATTTGAATCAAAAAGTATTTTATATAATTTAAATGGTTGGCAATGAGATTAGTTCACATATGAATAGCTTCATTGACATCATGGGTAGTTGAAGAAGCAAAGAACATGTCAGCAGCATTTAGGAGAAAACTGTCTGACAGATGCTACATGCTAACCATGTTGCTAATTAAGTCCTCTACAGTGAAGCCACTCAACTCTGGAATGTATTTTTCTGCTCCTCTTGCCTGAACACTCTTTGTTTTTATTATGCAGAATGTTTTGATCTGTTCTTCACAATAAGTAGGTTCTTATGATTTTGCCTCTTTAGGTCATCTCTTTGGAGATGAGAAATATCAGACCTGTTCTAATGCCACAAAATTATGTCTTCCACTCTTTTTTTTTTCTCAGCTTTACATTGAGTTATAAAGGGGATGTTAGTTTTTCCGCAGTATACCTTATGTGTGTTGATGTTTCCCTCTTATGTCCATTTTTTTCCTCTTGCAAAAGTCTTTTTCTTTAGTTTTGAATTGTGAGCTCTTAGAGAATGTTTGTGTACATTAGCCCCTCTTTGCTAAGATAGCAATGCTTATAATGTGTTTCCTATGTGGTCCATTTGCCTGCTAGCCCTAACATGAAGTTTAAATCTTCCAAAATGTTGCACAAATATTACATTTTTTCTGGGTTTTGGGGATTTCTGTCATATTAAGAGTTTAATAACACTCTTAAACCTTTTTATTTGATGATGATGCACTGGATGCTCCTCTTTCAGAGCATGGGAAGACTTCCATGGACTGGTGAATGCTAGCGGCGGACGTTAGCCCCTCACACGGAGATAACTCTGCGAAGAGTAAGGGCTGCTGCTGCCGTACTTGATCAGAGCTTAATAGATTTCCCCCCTACATGTTTCAACCCTCCTGCTGTCTGTGCTGCTCAGGTTGGAGTGTATATGTGGCGTGTTGAGGGGTGAACGAGTCCAGGGCTGGATACCTCTGCGTGGATCGGCACTGTGCAACACGAGGACCGAGGACGTATCCACAGGAACAGAGGACCTGGAGATCATTCCCTATTTTTGTCCAATTTGATGTTTGAATGGAAAGAGATGTCAGCGATCGGTAAAGGAAACCAAAGAGAGAAAAAGTCGGTCAACCAGTGATGAAACAAGACCTTCATTATTGCTTGCAAGTTTTAACATGTTAAACTTGACAACAGAGGCAGGTTGTGTGACTGCTGTCCTCTTATCTAGCTGTTTTTACCCGACAAAGTTTACTTGACAAAATGTGTTTCATATAAAAATGGACACCATTTATTGACAGATTTCATCCAGGCTGTTTACACAAGTCTGTGCTAAGGAGCTTTAGCGGGACTCAAAACCAGTGGATGATGATTTATTACAGTGATTTTTTAACACCATTCCTCATTCTTTCTGAACACAATGACCTTTATTTTCATGTTCATTGTGTATATACTGCATCATCCATCATATCCTGTGGTGAAGAGAAAGTTGTACGAGGGCTGTCTTGCAAGTTCACAACTAGCTGCCAAATCACAGTGGAGGAGACCTGTGGACATCTTTGATCGGTTCAAGGTTAACGATGTCTTCAAATGGTTCTTGGAATAGACTTTTCCCCAAAGGCCCATTTTAAAGGCATGCTGAAACCAACACTTATCACCTTTTACAGTTTATCAACAAAATATATGAACTTTGCAGAGGATCGGGGTTTGTTTTTCCATTTCATGCTGGACAGTATTTCTTTTAAAACTTCTGAATATGGTGTTGAAGGTTGTTTCTGCCCAAACTGTTGGTGCAAATGATTGAAAATAAAAACACTGATTGGGATGTGCACCTGATGGATTCTAGCAATAAAAGTAAAATATGCATCTGCTGCTAAAGCTGTCTCGATTGTTTCATTACTGCTATCTGGAAGAGAAGTGTAACCATAGAGGTAAATAAACTAAACCACTGCTGTAAAATTTATTTTTTCTTAACCTTTTCCGTCACTGTCCAGAGCTCGGTGCATCTCCTGCAGACTCTGTATGTCTTTTAGTTTTCAGCTCATCTCAAAGAACATGTGATTCTGAAAAGATAGATTATAGTTAGTCAATGAGTACATGTCTTTAAGAGAGGCTTTGTATTAGTAAGATGACCCATTAGACATGGTTTGGTGTTAGTAACCGATTGAATTATAGTCTAGAGTGCAAACATGGTATTTGCACAATCTAAAAGGAAATGTATATGATCTAAATACCTCTATCTGAAATGTTGCTGTTGCAAAAATGTATTTATGGATGGATGTTTTTTTGGGGATTTGAGTAAAAATGTAGAATAAGGAATCTGCAGATTCAGGAGCAGCTTTAATGTTAATTGTGCACAATGGTTTAATTCTGTATAGTTTTTAGAATTACTCAAACTCGTAATGGTTAAGACCTGTTCCACAAAAGCTGATTTTAGAAATCCAGGAAAGGCGATAAAACAAAGGTGGAAGCAGCTTCATCAGTTACACGACAGCTAAGCCAGGCTCAACATGTGCAGCTATGTCTGCCCGTCTGCAGATTTCCTCAAGTACACAAGGTTGATCGGATTCATGGGTATCTGCAAATGATAGATCAATTAAATGGCCTAAAATAAACATTAACCACTTAGCTTAAAATATAATTTAAAATGTTATCAACTTACACAATAACCATGGAAACAAGTTCTAACAAGCTGAACCCAAACGTGATGGATTCATACAGCTGTTCTGGCATTCAGTCCCTCTGTGGGTTAATGGTTTAAATCTTTGACCTGAATGTGGGGGTACATCAAGAATTACATCTGGTGTAAAAACTATCAAGTAGCAGGTAATTGACATTTTTGGTTCCACATGCTGTAAATCTTCCTACAGATCTAATATGACTTGACCAAAGAGGCCTGCACCAGCTCAACGTTTCTGGTATCTAAAATGTTGACTTTATTGTGCTAAGTTCCGGCACTCAAATTTGATCATCTTATTTAATTTAGGTGTTAGAATAAGCTCATGTGTCTGAGGTAGAGTGTGCAGCAGCATCCCTCTGAATTCATGCCAGCAGAAGAGCTGGACCTTAACTAAACCAACGGGAGGGACGGGTTCTGGAGTGATGGACTGAGCCAAGCCACTTTTGACTTCATTTCTGTAAAGATGCTGTCTGCCTCACAGACCATTTTAGGCAAAAAGAAAAAAAAATGTGATCAGTTGCTTTAATACACATGTTTATGGTGGACAATGAGCCAAACCAAAACTCCCTCTTAGCCGAACGTTGGGATTTTCCATCAACAAAATCCCCTTCATTTGCTAGTGTTGTATCTTCATGTGTTCGGTCCGCCGCACCAATAGCATTAGGAAGGCTGTATCAAAAAAGTAGAACTGTTCTGCTTATTTTGTGATTTTTAGCTTTATATCAACTGTATTATAGTATTTCTGCTTGGTGTAGTTTATGTGGTTGAGGAAAGTTATGGAGACAAGCTTATCCTTTTTAAACCAAATACACACTTCTGATGGTGCAACAAATGGTGGCCCTCCTACAGGAACATACTAGTGAAACAGATGATCTGTGTAACAGCAACATGGATCTGTATAGAGACCCAGTAGTCTGCAAAGGTAGCTGATGCCATCCCCAGAAGTGGTAACACTAGTAGGTAATTGTTGGGAAACCAAATCTGTACACCAGGAGGAACTCACGTTTGGAGCTCCTTCTAAGGCCTGACTTTATGGACACTACTTTAGCTACTTTATCAGGCATTTTTTTTAACGCCTTCAACCCAACTATAGCCTCTTAAAGGCATTTCTGTCAAAGTCAGAACAGCAACAGTCTTCAAAAACAATTGAAAAAGTGAAAATTATAAAGTTATTAATGGTATATGCTGCCATTATAATAAAGTACTTTGGCTAATATGATTTAGTGGTTTTTAATGTGGGCTTGAGGAAAAAATAAAACAAAACCCATGGATATCAGTGTAAAGCTGACTAAACAGACAAGGCACCAGGATTAACTAAGACTGACCGTTAGCCTAGTCTGGAGCAGCTTGACTGCACAGAATAAATCACTATGGTAAATTATGTTTCACTGCTTTTTGTGAAACTGAGTCGGCGTTTATTAAACCAGGATATCTGGAAAATCCCAGCTTGATCTCTTAACTTGGTTTTGTGAAACAGGCCTCAGGAATCGCATATAATTTGCCACCTTTGGTTCTAGAAACATGAGAGGTCAATGAGCATCTTAGCCTCCACACAATGATGGTGTTTTTCACAAACTAAAATAATCGTATAGAAGTGCAAAAGCCTTTCAGCCAGTTTAACAGCAATGTGCAGCAACAGGTGGGTGAGGGGCAGCTCTTAATATATGCTTTGTGAAATGGCAGATTTACTTTTTCTCTGTAATTCATGAAAAGGGAATTTTCTCTGTAGGACGTTCAGGGTAAAAGGAAATCCAAGATTTTCAAAGCCATGGCTTTTTAAAATGAAAATTGTGAACTGATGCCTTGATTACATTAAATGCCAGCTTGAGTACCATCAAAGTTGGAGCATGATTAAAGAGAGACCATTAGAATCTGCTCTGAATCAACATGATTTTCTATAATATAGGTGTATTATCTGTTGGTGGCTGATAAGACGCTGTGGATTAACCACAGATATGACAAAGCATAGCAGAATATATATGAGTAAAATCTGTAAAACTATGGAGGAAACACTGAAGACACTTCAATCAGCTACACCAAGAGAAGATCCATACTTGCCAGTAAAAAAGTAGCTGCTAGAAGCAGGAGTTTAGTATTTGGCTCCAAACTCTGTGTCACTGCAGAAAAAGACCAAATCCACATTAGAACAGTTCAGAGATGGCAGGAAAGACCTTACACAGTTTTATTAAAATGCTTTATCACATGTTAGTACAGCTGAAGGTTTCTCTGCTGTTTTTTTCTATCAGTGTTGAGTCTGTTTAGTGATTATTCTGTAGTATTTTGCTGGATAACTCAAAAATGTCAGAATATTTTATATCTTCTGCATTAGGAAGTATAGCATTTATACCCCTTAATTTACATTAATTAATACCCCTTACATTAATTATTCATTTTTTTCCTCTAGTGCCTAATCCCAACCTTTTCACTACTATAAACTTAAATAAAAACAATCTTAGGGGACAAAGCAAACGTGTGGACAAACCTGCCCTGGTCAATTTTGACCAAAAATCTTTCCCCTTTGAACCAAATGAAAAATGTTGGCATATGATGGAAAAAGCAGCACTGCAGACAACCCTGGATACACTGTTCTCAGGATGCAACTTTTTTTACAATAGGAAGTTAAAGCAGAATCAGCGGCTGGTCTTGACATTTTCAGACACCTTTAAGTGTTATTGCTGGTCTGTCTGACAAATCAAAATACTGTTCATGCTGCCACAAGTTATTTATTTTTTTGTTTGTTTTTTGCAATGGTTAAAAAGTGCAAAATCAGGCAGATGTTCCAAGAGGCACATGACAGCTTAATTTAAGGGTTTATGATAATTTTTCTGTTGACATCTCAGTTACTGCCAGAGGGAGAAGAGTTTAAACTTGTTTCACTAGAATTCAAAAGAACGAAGAGCTTAATGGGGTAAGAAAAAATAAAATTTCTTAAAGCACAACTCACCCTCCAACCCAAAATATTCATGATCCATGTTACGTTCATCGCTGAAGCTTGGCCATTTCTTCCATATCGTACCTATTTGCTCTCCAAACTTGGAAACAATCTGTTAATCGGTTAGATTTATATTTGAATACAGTCAAAGTTAAATGAAACTAAATTTAGTTGCCTTAAATAAAATAAGATAAATAAAATATATAAGATAAGATAAATATTGTGGCGCAGCACAGTGGAGAAATGTTGGCTTGTTTGAAGAAAAGCAAAGACAATGAAAGCATACAGTACAGGTGCACTAACTACTAATTATAAAGTATGAAAACAAAGAGTTAAAATAGTGTAAAAAAAACATCTCAGCAAAAAAAACTTGTGCAGGTATTGAAAAGTGCATACTTAGATTAAATGAAAACTGTTGACAAAAAAGAGAAACATCTGCCCATTAATAAACAAAATGAAAAACAAAATGGATTTTGGAAAAAAAACTCAAAGCAGGTTAAATACTGTGCAGATAGCAGGTAAAACTGCAATAATGTTTTTGAGGTGCAAAAACATTCACTGAGCGGGTAAATATTGGAATTACCGTAACAGCAGAGTAGTAAACAATTATTGGGACTGGGAGGAAGGATCTGTGATAGGGTTCCTTTGGGCACTTAGGGTGCAAAGTTTTTTTTCCATGAAGGTTTGTGTTTTTTCAGTTTATGGGTTGGGGCAGTTAGAAAGACCGGCACGTGTGGAAATTTGCAGTGATTTGCAAAGTAATCATGTCTCTATTCACAACAAAAGAAATCTATGTATTATATTAGGAGTTTTAAGCAATATATTGCAAAGTTGTGCATAAATGTAAAGCAGATGGCATGTTACAAAAAAGTGGGGTGTACTCTTAAAAGTCATATTTGCTTTTTTCCCACAAGCTATGTTAGGGAATAGGGAGAAATATGATATGACACCAAAATGGTGCTTTCTGTTTACATGAAAAACGTTTGTTTGCTGAAAAACCAAACGTGCATATGGACCTGAAAACTCAGCCTTTACATGAAAGCATGGTGGTGGTGGCAGCATAGTGCTGATAGGATTGTTTTATTCAACAGAATTAGGAAAGTTGATCAGAGCTGAGGGGATGATGAATGGAATTAACTAGAGGAGAAAACATGCACATGGCTACAAGTGATATAAGAGAGAATCAGAGATATTTGAATAATTCAACATGAGACATGTTTAACAGCTATGTATACTATTGCTAGGTACTCCGTTTACTATAAATAGGATTACCTGAAACTGTTGGTTGGAAAAACAGCGGCACGGGCAGCAGGGGCCCTGGATTTGAATTCTTGAGGCTCCTTCCAAGTCGCACACCTCCAGGAGAGGAGTGAACATGCTCCACCTGAACACACAGTTTGCCAAATGCAGCAATAAGCAATCTGGCAGAAACTGTCCAGTACTTAACTTGGTGGTGCAGTTTACTCTGATGACCAGGTTTTCAGCACCAAGACCACGGTCAGTTCATTGCCAGAATGGCTCAAATTGGACCATAATTTATTTCCACATGACTGAGATATTATTTATATCAAGTCAATCTCTGGTCATTTAAACCTTTCCCAGGTCAGTTCCAATTAAAACACACTATAGTAGATCATGCTTTTATGAAAAGGCATTCAGCCTAGCCCTGGTGTCAAATTTGTGCCATTTGAAGAAAGTATTTTGCTTTGACTCTTCCCATTACTAAGAGCTTTAAGCATCTCTGTGGGTGTATTTCAGTGCAGACAGCTGCTTTGTGCATAAACTCTACCAGGTTTAGACTGCAGCTGGGTTGTGTGGAACATTAGAGACTCTAATTGCTATTTACAGAAAGACTCAGGAATTTAAGCAGCTCCATCTTGTCAGATAATGCAGTGACAGAAAAAAGCTGTTCAGTTGAGGTTTTATTTATATCTAAAAGGTATCATTTTAAAAACCACAAAGCAGGCTTAGATCGTTTTTTTCAGAGGACTTTTGCTCAGTTTTTCTGATAACATTTCGACACCTATCCAGGAGTCTTTCTCAGTTCTTAATTTAATTTTCAAAAAAGGTTCTGATGTTCTATGACCACATTTACATTTGCAAGTTTATTTTCTAGTATTAGTTTATTTAATTTTAGATCCTACCTGATAATACATTCAGACGTAAGTCTTACAAATTTGTTTATATACTTTATATTTTTAATAGTTACTGTATTAAGGGAAGACATGTTGGAGCTTTCATCCTCTTTCTACTTGGCTACAATCTTGGAAGTTTTTTAGTGTGGGGTTTATTATTTGAATAAAACAAGGACTGGGGATAAGTTATACATATTTAAACATATAATGCCCTTCTCCATTATAACTGTTGTATAGAGACACTGATGTAATTGCAATACCATCTGCTTATTACTTAATGAATGTAAATAATCATTTGCATGCTGTGTTTGACTTTGGTGACAAAAAAAAAAAAAAAACTTTCGGGTTCAGTCAAATTATGTAACTAAATATTTATTTTTGCAGAAACAGTAGATTCTGTGGAAGTATTTTTTTTTTTTTAAACGACAGACCTAGTTAAAATCACAATTTCTGGTAAACATTAAGCAGTGATGCTAGACGTCCATTTATTAACCCTTACTTTTAATTTAATGTTGACCATTTCATTTGAATTAGAACATTTTACTATAGGATTGGCAAGGCAATACTAAAGGTTTATGATTGGTTTGAAGAAGTTTTTGGGCACTTGTGCTTTCTAACTGGAGGGGGGCAACCTATAGATGGATTCAATAGAATAGAGACTGGTTAAGATCTTTATATGGGGTATCCCATTCACATCGACGAAGGATTTAGGAAAATAGCATCTGGTTAGCTGTTTGTAGCAGCACCCACGGTGCATGAAAATGTTCACACTTCATACAAGGCCTGCATATCATCTGTTCTTCCAACTGATGCAAGTCTTATTATGTGGCATAAAATAAACGACTATTTTATGATCCTATGAAGACAAGAGCTAACGAACGGTGTTCTGGCTGACTGACCTCTGACATACAGTGCCAATGAGATGCTTTTGAGGTGTATATGCCCGAATCTCCATCAGGCAGCAGCCAAAGCAGCAGGCATCTACCCTGAGGGGCCTTTCAAAATAAAAGACCTGCCTTCCCTGATAGTCATAACCCTGCAGTGAACAGGCCCTGGCTGGACCACAGCACTGGAGACACACACAGGAGCTCTCTAAAAGAAAGGAGAGAACAGCAAATGAGAAAGGTTGCTCAACGACTTTTGCCTCTATGGTTAATATGCTGATTTTCCTTATAGCTGAAACAAGTACCCTCCACAGCCACAAACATCTGTGACTTGCAACTTCCTGTGGAGATGCTGTAAATCCTTCTGGAGACACACTGTGGGCCTGGAATGGAAGAGTGCAGCTTAACACAAGGAAACACACAAATAACACTGAAGTCATGTTATAAGGCAAAAGTAAACTGTCTCTCTGTGTTTGAGCGTTGTACAGGTCAGGGGATAATAGCAAAGCCCTGCTCCTAACCTAGGTTTGTTGAGCATCATTACTTCACATCACATCATGAGAATCCAAACATTCCTTGATAAACAAAAAGAAAACTGATCTGGACAGGCTGTTTGTGAAAAAGCCATAGCATACTAGGACATCTTTTAGCTTTGATGTGTAGCATATGTCAGCAGGACTTTATAGGTCTGTTATATTGTGGTGCCCATTGTTAAACCAGTCCTTTTTAGAGCATTGTTTGGATGATACAACCATAATAGTAGACCGTTGCTGTTTTTTTTTATTTTTGAAAGAGTGACAGGAAATGTGGTACAGTGAGAGGAGAGGATGAGTTGGGACTCATTCTAGTGTTCACATCTCTCCCATATTAGTCAAAACTCCAACATCTACAAACATCTGTGAAGGACAGGGTCCCTCCCAGAAGATCAGCTAATTCAAGGCCCCATAAAGGGATAAAACCTTAGCAATAAATCCAGTTGTGAAACTTTTTTACTACTGAATATTTCACAGTCAACTGTTAGTGGTATTATAGGACAAGGAAAGTCACTAGGAATGACAGAAACCCAGGCAATAAGTGATGAGCCAAATAAGATGACAGAGGTTGGCAGCAAAAGCTGAACTAAGCAGGTGGATATTTACAGCTCTCGGTTAAGGTAATTGTAGCTTGTGGCTGATAAATTCACTCTCTAACAGAGGATTATTCCAATGGAATCAGTTTCTTTGCCAAGTAGCTGTCTAAAGGTCAGTGCATCGGATGCAAGGGCGTAAATCACAGCAACACTGGACTCTAGAGCAGCAGAGAACTCTTCTGGAGGAGTCTAGGTTTAGCCAAGAGAACAATGACAAATAAGAGAAATTAAAATTTTAATTCAGGGGGCATTTGGAGTATTTAATACCCACAGCTCTAATTGGACAGTTTAGGGATGGCATCTTTCTTTTCCAACATTGCTCTGCAAGAGTCCTGATCTTAACTCAGCAGAACAGTTTTCAGATAAATTAAAGACAGGCCTTCCTACCCAACATCAGTGTCAGACCTCACAAATATGCTTCACAAATAATAAAAACAATGTCTATAAAGACTCTGAAACCTTGAGGAAAGAGTTGAACATCTACCTGCAAAGGGTGAACCGACACCTAATGAATTCATTTGGATTCTGAAAGGGATGTGACTCTGTGTGTGAAGACAATATTTTAGGGTTTACAGTGTATAATGATGGTGATTACTTTTTTCACACATCCCTTTCTATATTTAATAATACCACTGTGCCACTGTTGTGTAATTCTTATATAACTGCATTTGTGTTTAAATATTCTGGGGTTTAGTGAAGTGGTTGAATATGTCCTTTTTTTCTACCATGAGTGTATTTACTCACCCAGCAGCTCAGGTCTGACGGTCACATCTATCTGCTTGACTGTCTCTAATGCTGACAAAAACTGCAATCCTGCTTCATCTTTAAGGTTCTGCTTCATGACCTCGAATGTCTCCGGTACTGGAAGCTGTGTGCACATGTTCCTCAGCTGAGGACTGAGATCTGAACTGTGTCCTTCAGCTTCTCTGTCAGGAAGCACTTGGCAGGCTTTGGCTCCAGCTGAGGGATTCTGGCACTCACAGGAAGGGCCACATCGGTTCTTGAATGCCCTGAAGATCCCCTGGATGTGCTTCTCTCGCTCAAGTGGACCATAGGGTAGAGGCTGACTGGTCACTGCTGACATGATGCTCACCTTAAAATTACATATACAGTCAATTTTTGTTGTCTTTTTTGTGTCTTCTTAGCATATGTGGGAAATATGTCTAAAAATGTTCACAGGACAAGTTCTATGTTTAAGAAATGGTGTAATAATGATGAACAAAGTTAGAAAACAGTTTGTAAATACCAATTTTCTAGTTTTTCACCAATTCATTATTTATTTATTCTTTGATTTTGACTTTGCGATTCCAATACAAAACATGTATTATAAACCATTAGTTTTTAACGTTTATTTAATGCTGTGGTATGTGTGTATGTCTTCTCTCCACTACCATGTTTGTCCCTGAGCAGCTTATCATTTAGCTCCATTAATCTCATAAACTCTGACCGGCTTAATTGATCCTGCAGAATCAAATTATTCCCACAGTACCATGTAGCCACCACCTTGTTTCACTATGGACACAGAGCGTTTAGGGAGATGTGCAGCATCAGTTTTAAACTACATATGTTTGAAATCTTTGTTGCCAAGTGATGACATGAGTACAAATATCATACTCATATCAACACTTGGCAACAAAAGCATTAGGTTTTTCAATACTTAACTATGGGGATGTGCAGCTGACATCAGCCAATTACGTGAAGACTCCTCCTCCTTGGACACCAAAACCAACTATGAGTACATACAGCATTTTTTCTCCATATTATGTTGAACCACCAACAAAACCAGCAAGGAAGAAAGTGCAGCATCTTGTTTTATCACTTCCCTAAATACCCAGAAAGGTGAGCGAGATGGATGGCTGCCGTGCAGAGGCAGAGCTGGAACCGACTACAGCCAGCAGAATTTACAGCAAGCTTCACTTGAACGGATAATTGTTTTGCTTAAATTCTCATATCTAAAGGCTCAGTCTCCTCATTTAGCTTACCGGATGCTTGGTAACTAACCACTTATTTTATTCAGGTGTGTTTAAATAGGGGGTATGAAATTGTTGCATGATAGTAGCTCTTAAAGACTGCAGTTGAACGCCCCTGTTGTACAATTTTTTTTTTTTCATTTAGACAGATGTGGAAATAAAAAATGCAGATTTTTATCTTTGAACAGGCATGCCGGGTTTTCTCTGAATGTATTACAAACTTTACTCGCCCTCCTGTTAGGATAAAACAAAACAGCTGCAGGCATCTTAACCATTATTAGCCTTTAGTGCTTTTACCTCAAATTAAGACAGGTGATTCACCTATCAGGATCTCTGATGGATGGCTCACTTGAAAACAACCTGGCAGGTAAACAGAGGGATTCTTAACTCCACCAAGAGAACTGTTTGCAATGTAACGTCATTTTAACTCTCTATCTAAATGTTTAACCCATTTAGATGATGTTTGGTTGGAAGATTCTCCACTTATTTCGTATTAAATCTCTGTAGTTAATATCTTACTGTATTACTACGGTGCATGCATGTGTTTTTATGCCATCCAGCATGGCGGCGTAAACAGACAGCAACTGCACATCCTCTACTGTTAAAATAATTTCTAACCAACCAGTGATTGGTTTGAAAACCCTTAATTTAACAGATTGTGAATATATGTTGTGGAATTTAACAGAAAACATTTCCCCCCTCAGTGTTTCTCACAGCAGAAATAAGTCTCTGCCTTTGGCAGCAACATAAACACCACTCCTGCCATACAGGCAAGCCTGTGGCTCTTTATGTATTCAAGTCACACACTGCCACTGCTGTCTTACAATTTGGCCATTACGAAAACAATACAGATGTCCTGATTAACTACACACTTCATATGTAATATGATCTCCAAGAAGATCAAAAATTTAAACTTAAAACTTCTCCTCTGATCCCATATATGAAAGGAACAATTAGAAAAACATCTCATGTTTTCTTACCAAAAGTGGTTAAACTCCATGCATCTGGTCCAACCAAGTGAATCGAAATGATCAGGAGTTCAGAAGCAATCTCCTCACCACCTGTGTGTAACTAGATATGCAGGAACGTCTTACTATGTCTCACGACAACCAACCACCCAAAAAAAAAGCTTGACTTGACTTTCGTTTCCATCTCAACCAGCCGGATCTCCTCTTTGTTCTGCTATAAAGGCACCACTCAGCCATGCAATTGAACTCCTGTGTCCAGAGATGGGCGGGCCATACGATGGAGATTGTGTTTCAGAGGGAGGGAGAAGTTCCTGCTCTCTTGGCTTTTAAAGATTATGTTGGATATCAGATAGCGGCTATGTTATTAATAATAGAAAAAAATAAATAAAGGCAAAAGTTTACATCAGTCTCGTAGCCATCCAGTTGTATTTATAAAAAACACATTTGTTACATTTGAAAACATACATGTGGAACCTCAATATGGTATTTCTTAAAGTTAGTTTGATTGACTTGCAGGAGATGTTGTTGTATAAAAAGCTGTGAAAAAGTGTCCCTTACAGATATATTTTTCCATTTTATGGATTGTTCAATCATAAGGAAGTTGTTCATGTCCTACATCCACATCACAGCTCTCTATGTTTTTTTAAACATTCTTGGGACCATCTACCTGTTTTCAGCAAATATCAGGAGGGCATTTAAGCCCTCTGCGGTCAGTGGTGATTTTCACCTTAAAGAAACCCTATTGACTCTATAGGGTTTAGTATAGAGGACTTTTTTCTCTCTTAGTATTGAATCAGTAATTCTCACCTGGCCTGAGTCAAGGAGGTTGCAACTTGCAATGCTTTGGCCTTTTTTGACCTCCTGTATGAGTTGAATATACGGTGACCAGATGCCCCCCCGATTTCTGAGGACAGTCCCCAATTTTGGACCAGCTGTCCCTGGAAATGTCCCTGCTTTTAGTGTTTTATGAATGAGGGGGGCAATGTTGTGTGTAGAATGTTAACATCTGGTTGGCAGCTGTTAATGTATAGATGAGGAGCAGAGCGCAACACTTAAAAAAAAAAAGACGAGCAAGTTTGCTATCACAACAGGTCTCAGCTGCCCTGTGTTATGGTGAGGGTGTTAATCAGTTAATTTTATTTGAAAAGGGCTGATCATTGTGATAAATGTTTGGTTTGTGCCCAGGTTAATAAAAAAAAAGACTTTGATGGGTTTCGTTTTATTATAGATCTATCCATCCATCCTCTTCCACTTATTCGGCGTCTGGTCGCCTGGGTAGTCCCTCTCTCCAGCCACTTGGGCCCGCTCCTCCGGGGGAATCCCAAGGCGCTCCCAGGCCAGCCGAGAAACATAGTCCCTCCAGCGTGTCCTGGGTCTCCCCCTGGGCCTCCTCCCGGTGGGACGTGCCTGGAACACCTCACCAGGGAGACATCCAGGAGGCATCCTAACCAGATGCCCGAGCCACCTCAACTGGCTCCTCTCAATGTGGAGGAGCAGCGGCTCTATTCTGTGTCCTCCCCGGATGTCTGAGCTCCTCACTGTATCTCTAAGGGAGACACTTTATTAAAGATGAGGACCGGATATGGAACATAAATCAAGCTAATCAACAAAAAGTAAGAAAGGCCATTGGCTGCAGCTGGAAAGAGGAAATAGACTCAGATAAAATTAAACAGAATGATTGAAAACTCCTTGTAAGGTGCTAATCTGGTTCTGTAGTTCTCCAGGGATCAACAAGGGTTCACCTAAAGATGTTTTTAGTGCTGATTGATGATCATTAGTTTATATCTTCAGATGGTTATTTAGTGTAAGTAGAGTTATATGTTTTTTTTTTTGTTTTATACACTTCCAGGCTTAGGTGCTTAGGTCTACTTTTCTACCACTCAGTTTGCATGTATGAAAGTTCCTCATTATAAAAAATAAGAGGCAGTAAAGGGAAAACTGAATGAGACAAGATCTGCATGATCTGAGAATGATGAAGGAAAAGATAACCACCTGGTAAATGTTCATTTATTCGGTTGTTTTTGCTTTTAGCTCCAAATATTCTGCTGATTAGCCTTTTTATTATTTAATCAGGTGAGATAACAACAATAATAATAATAATCAAGATCATCATAATGAATGAGAACGGAGGAAAATAGGAACACTGAAAGAAAGATGTTTGAAGAGAAAAAAGAAAAAATCTATTTCGAGTAAAACAGAGATCAGGCAGAAGTCAGCAAGAAAGAAAAGAAGATGAAGAGGGAAGAAGACAGAGAAGACTGATTGACCAGATGGCACAAATAAACACTAATGATTTATTAATTTTATTAATGTTAGGAAATAGAAGAGGCACATTCCTGGATTTAACACTTGATTTTTGTTGTTTAAATATGAATAAATATGTAAAAATGGATGAAAGCATCACTGTATTTATTTTTATCTATGAGCTGGAAATGTCCCCAGATTGAAATTTCAGAAATCTGGTCACCTTAATTAAATGTACACTTGAAGTTATCTTTCCAGGCCTGCCGCTCATGACTGTAGCACGTTTTCTCAATTGTGAATATTTTTCGTTTGAGGAGTTTAGTTGAACCAAAGTGCAAACAGGTCTCTATGACCAATAGATTATTGGAGATATAAATATTTAATAAAATAAACCAGCAAAAAAACTTTCAGAGAAATAAGGGACACAAGACCTGCAGAGCTAAAACAAAGTGCTTAATGGAAGATTTCACAAGGAGCATTTTTTTTTAACTGGTTAAAAACTGGGAGAGGAAGATGAGAACAAATGAAACAGGGAAACAGCTAAAGAAGATTAAAGGAATTATTTAAGAGAAGTTTTTCAACTCACAGTATTCGTACCTAAATACTCAAGTAGAAATAAACAATCGTAAACCCCCAAAAATGACTAAAGTAAAAGCAAAAAAGTATTTGGTATACTATGCTACTATTCAATCATAACACCTGGTTTGATATTTAAACATTATTTATTTAAACAGACAAGCAGAAACAGTTACTTGCAAATTATGGTAAAAGTAAAATTTAGAAAATGAAAAAAAATAAATAACATCTTTACAAAGTGACAATTTCAGGCTTTAACAATCAAAACATAGACAACCCTTGTTTTTTTTATTCATTGTATTTTTCAGCTAATATGCCTTAGAGAAAAAAGGGTAAATATTAGATATTTACAATAAACCTTAACAAAAATTGCAATGTCAGATAATTGCCATGTGACTTTATTTATAAATATCCAACATGTCCAAATGAAATGAATGCCGCCTCGCTAGATTAAACATTTTATAGCAAACACTCGATTCGGATGACTCTCCATTCCTATGAAAGACGTGGGAAAGCAGAAAAAGGTTTGGAAAGCAATGTGTGGGTTCAACAGCCATCTACAGATTACAAGATAATACATCCATACAAATATAGTTTCTTGCCATTATTAGGTTCCACCAGAGAACCACAATTGCCTTAAAGCATTACTTTATCTTCTTTTTGCCAGATACATTTGTAATGAACCTGCACAATCATTATCATAGATTCATGGACCGTAATCAGGTTAAATCCAAAGAGCTTTTCCTGGTTCAGCTCAGAAGGTGACTCTCTACTGGGGGGAGATACTCCTTTGGATCACCATCAAACGGGGTGGAAGGAGGCTGGTTGAAATGGCCCATCAGGAAGATACCAATCGTGCCGATGAAAAACACCAACACCATGACAATAAAGCAGACCCTGTCGATCACACGGGCAACCAGGAACCATTCTTCATTTTCCTAGGATAATAACATATTGAATGTTTTTTTTTCGCATCACCCAACTAATAGTACAAACATGAAATCTGACACACAGTCGATAATTGTTCTTGTCTGACTCTTTGAGACCATCAGAGATAGTAAACTTGGAATTTTCAGGAACTTACTTTCTGGAAGTTGTTCTGCTGCTTTGCAGTCTCCGCTATGTGTTTGCAGGAGGCCACACACTGCCTGAGCTCTGGTGAGGCCTGTGCTAGACTCACACTGAGATCTTCAGCTGTTCCTCCTTTGAGTCCACCATCTGGATAAAGAACAAATCGCATGTATGTTCTGTGCACACATTTTCAAAATGTTGCGGTCAGAGCATAGGGAGCACGATTCCATGAGTTTGATACTAGATAATCCTCTATTTGGGAACATTGTTTTGACATTTTCCTGTAGAGTCCCAAGTTGTGTCCAGGTTTTAATCACCACTGTTGTTTTTAGGTGATGCACTAAACTAGAACAAGTGGTAGCAGGACATACCCTTAGTTTGAGACTAATACCACCATTCTTGATATCTGGTACAGTGTTGTTTGGTTTGAAACCTCACTGTGCCTTCCTAAAATACACTTTAAGTGTATTGCCTTTATCCTTTGTTACATCAGGCAAGAACAAAATAAAAGATCAATAAAACATTGTATTTTTCCCTAGACAAGGTTGTATGGAGGCTGTGCAGCTGACGTCAGCTCCTCTTTGGTGGAATCAATTCATTGTTATTCATGTCTTAAGTAATTTTTATGTGTTTATCAAGTCCTGAAATAAGTCTCAAGCACAGACATATCCTTTATCCTTTATTTAAAATGAGACAATGTCTATTCATCAAGGTTTAACATGCCAGATTCAGACAACGCTAAAAAAATAAAATAATTTTCATTAATTTCATTAATAATTTGCAATCAAGTCAGAGTCAAATCTTAAGTCAGGACAGGTAACTCCCTGTTCAGGTAGCAAGTCTGAAATTTCAAAAATGTTCAAGTCTTTTTTTTTTTTTTTTGACAAAGTTGAATTATATTTAAAATGTAAATACATGGATATGTGTTCATTTTTAAATCTGTATTTATCTCAAAATATAGTGAAACCAGTTAACCTAATATTTTGCCAACCAGCTGAGGCCACTTGCCTTATCTTAACAAAACAAAAGTACCTGGTGTTCTTTATTTGTGATTTTAATTTAACATATAAAACAATCAAATTTTATCTAATTATAGCAGCCAGTACCAACAATAGAAAAAAGACAGATTTTTCCAGTTTAAGATCTAACATAATGTCTCTTATCCAGTGATGATGAGATGGTAGGAGTAGATGGAGGAGTATCTAGCCATTAAAGAAGAAAAGGCAGTGACCCTATGTACGG